GAAAGCATATTGCATGCTGCTTTTCAGCTACAACTATAGAGTTTAAATTAGTGATACTCATAAAAAGCCTGATGTTAAGGTGTGTGGAGCACTGACTTTCAGAGCACACACATGTATACTATTAAGGTCTCGGGAACAGAGCAATTCCAGGACATTTGTCATTCATCTCAGATGCCGTGTTAGAATGTTATTAATAGGAACTTGTCTTGCTTTCCTTCTGACTTTCATAGAGGCAAGAAATAAGACCCTTGGGGGAAAAAATTCTCTACCCTATACTGACGCCTTGAAATACTTGAACTCTGAAGTCAGTAAAGCATGACTCCATCTCTCAATATTGGAGCTTTAGCCATAGTGTTATCCTTGGCTTCGGCAGCTTTCAGCAAATAGGGGACAAAACCAGTATCTTTAAACATCAGATGACTGCAGACTGATGAATTAAAAAAAGTAAAATCTTGCCTTCAGCTTAGTTATGACAGTCAGCGTGAACTGTATCTCCCTCCAGTGCATCAGCCTTCTAAATATTGGAGCACATTCAGGACTGGCTGAAGGGATGCTGGAAAAACCAAGTCTCTTGCAAAAGAGACTAACATCTCTTAGAAAAAAGTGACATTTTTGAAGGTGACATATGGTCTGAACGCATCACTGCCTTGCCAGCAGCCCTCGGCTAAGGCATAAGCAATGCTCTTTCTCTGGCTATCTTTTGTAGATCAGGAGTTGATGAAGTCCCTGACATATCTCAGCACTTACTGTAAATTCGTTCTGTTTTAATACCTAATATTCTCCTGAGGCATTTTCTTTTAAAGCAATTAGACATCTGTCAGCACCTTTGGTAGATTTCAAGCTTTCATGTCAGTATCCTAAGGTGGAAATAGCATTCCAGATGAAAAATCATAGCTTGGTCTTAAGGTTGGAGTTTTTCAGTGAGTAAATCTTCTTTAAGCTGATGAATGCAGCTGCTGCCTTGACAATATGTGAGTTTATTTCCTCCTGGATAGCCCCACTGGCTTTCACGTTACCGACAAAGAATGTGAATGGAGGCATTTTTGTATTCCTTTTGCCTTCTCAAGCAGGGCCTGAGCTGGGAGTTACAAGGGCTCTCATTAGGTTCACTTTTTATAACTGTTCATTAACTCCCTCTTTTTTACGGTGCTGAACAATCATTTGATCTTTGCCTGTGGGTGGATTTCCAGTTTACAATGGCTGTATTGTCAGTTTAGTGCATTATGGTTAAACTACATGAATTTTGCCTCTGCATTTTTCTGATAGTGATATCACTGGCAATGCCTGGTGGAAGGAAGAAAAAACACTCCTTTGTTTGACACCGGCGTCTCTATTCAAACCCTTGCCTGAGTCCACAGCTTCCCGGAGTGGATTTTGTGGATTTTCTCTTAGTACTTGCATAGCAACTCAGGTGGAGATTCACACAGCTCTGAACCATGTTCCCAACCCAGTCCTCCATATTCGCAAATCGTTTACTCCATTGTGGCATCAAAACATGTGCATATCTGGAGAGTTGCATCAATGCTTCCAAAGGCTATTCTGATTTTCAGAGCGTATTTGTTAATTGCAGTGCAAGAACTCAGTATCTGCCCCAAAAGCCCAGTGTCCCATCAGAATTTTAAGGCCCAGGCTACGCTCTCCCACACGCGATACACGCTCTCTCCGCCAGCTGTTGGCTGCCTGGAAGTTGCTCTGTTTGCAAGAGGACCACAGCACCTTTCCGTACTCGAACTCCTCGTAACCTGTGTCCAAGTCTGAGGGTCTTCTATAAGAGGGCACAGAGTGAGTGTAGCCCTGAAAATTGTTCTGTGGATACGCTTACTGGCTCCATAAATACTTAGGAAAAAGGAGACTGTTGCAATGCATTTAGGTGTCTGGAGTAGGGAGAGAAGTTATTTATCGGAATTTGCTGTTCAGTTGGAGCTTGATTTTTATGCCTCTTTTAATGATGTCCTGTTCTCGTAGTGCAGCATGAGTAACAATTCCCCCTTTGTATGTATTTTGTATCTATTCCTATTTCCTATGGAAATTCCTAGGAAAGAGACTATCCGAGTACAGAGCCGAAAATTTTGTCTTAAAATAAGCCAGATGTCCAACCTTCCTTTAGCTGCCAAGCCCAAAAGGGTTCAAGAAAGATGTTAAAATCTGTCTTCCTGGCTGTGAAAAACTAATTGCATAGCATAGGTGATGATCCCAGTCTCCCAGGAGAAGAAATAAAACTGCTTCGGGCAAAAACTCGGCTGTTATTTGTGTAAGGATTGGAATTGGCAGTGTCTGTGGAAAAAGTTTCATTGCTTGCCCTCCTTGCTGGTTAACAAATGCAGAGATGGGAACACAGACAAAGATGGGTGAGTGGCTGTATGTTGGTATCTGAAAACCTTTTATACCTTGTGAGAAACATGCTTTTTTCTTTCTTTCCCTCTTTCTTTCTTTTCACCTTCTCTGTTCAGAACATTCATAAGCACAGGGAATGCCTAAAATCCAAGACAGAGGTTTCAGACTCACTATGTTACAATCATGTGAAGGAACCCCATGGTCCAGATAGGTTGTCTTATGCTTGCGTGGTAACAGCTCTTCTGTTGGTAAAGAGGATGGACAACTCCCTCCCTCTGCAGAGTCCTGTGAGGATTAAGATTAGTAAAGCACTCCGATGCCTAAAAGTGCCACTGAAATCCTGAGGATTAGAGGTTGCAAATGACCAGTGAAGTGGAAGGGCCTAATAGTTGTGTTTATCGGGATAAAAATTGTTAACTTTAAATCCAAATGTAACAGCCAGGCCTGACTGACTTCCAGGCTGGTGGAAGTCACTGAGGGCACACGGTGCTGGGGAAGAGCAGAGGGACACCCAAGACTGATGAAATGCCGAGATCTCACTGCAGAAGCTCGTGTTGTGAGGAGGGTTTAAATAAGAAAGTTCAATGATTACATTTTTTGAATAGCTCACTGTAGGGCAAACAAGGAAAGGGCTCGTTCAGCATATCTTAAATATCCTAACCATTGTTGAGGTGTTAATAGACAGTGACCAAATTTTACTGTAAACTCAACATCTGAAAATCTAAGGGAAAAAAGAATCTGTTGTAAACTAGTATGTAGACATTACATTGAAATAAAAGAGATGAGAAGGAAAAAAAAAACAAGCTAAACAATTTTTTATTTAAAAAGTAAGTTCCAAAATGCATGCAAAATGTTCATACAGCACAACTCCTGCCTGCAGAATACAATAATCAGGTCCTGGAGGGGGCTGTGCAGCTGGAAACGCAGAGGTATGCTGCACACCGGGGTGGCTTAATGGCAAAGTCCAGAAGGGAACTGAGCCAGAGTTTGTTCTGAAAGGGGAAAATCAGTCCTAGAGAAGAGCACTGGGAGAAAGGACAGGAATAAAATGCAGGTGGAATATGGGGGAAAAATAAGAGAAAAGCAACTACAAATCCAGTGAGTACACCAAATAGAAGGAACTTGTTTAATGAACAGTCATTAAGTGAGTGACGAAGGAAGAAAGATAGATAAAGAGTCTGTGTTTTTTTTGATAATAGACATTTGACAACCAGTATTTTCACTGATCCTACAGTTCCTCCTACCCAGAAATAAACTCTTCACTCATGTAAATGTATTTCTGCACTGGACTTCTGAAGCACAACTCCGTCAGCTCCATTTTTCACAGTCCTGTTCATATGAGGGTACTTTATGTCAGGCCTTTCAGTGATCCACACGGGAAGGAAAAGCTCCCTGTGCTCCACCCCGAACAGAGCTATACTTCTTGTATCAGGTGGTTTTTGAGAAGCAGCAGGGGTTTCTTGTGATACTTCAGAACAAAATGACCACGTCTTTGCTGTGCTCTCCCCCATAGATGGGAGAGGTGGTGGCCTGCGTGCATCCATGTGTTCTTCTGCCCCGAGTCCTTCTCTTTAAGAATTGCCACTCTGAGATGATAGCATTTTCCAGGGAGAGAGCTCCAGTGCCCTGACTTTGTTCAGGAACAGCAGAGGACAGAAAACAGGATCTTTTTTACATCATCCTAATTATATCTCCTGAGTTTTCCCTCACCTCCTCCTCTCCCCCAGCGTTTGCTTGTGTGTGGCTTTAGCAGAAATAGGAATCTTACCAAAGTCCTGCAACCCATTGTTTCTTTATTTTAAATACAAGGTTCTTTTATTAACTCCAGCTGGTGCACCTCACTGTGCTCACTGTGTTTGCTTTATTAAAATTGAACAGTGTGCAAGTAGGACATTGTAAATCACAAGTGACTGGGCCAGAGGAAGAGGGAGGGAGGGAGGGACTCCAACCGTATGACAACAAAGAGAGCATATAAACAGGCTGGGCCTCCTGGCTAATAGAAGCCAAAATTCATGGAGTACAATTTGCAATTGCTCCCAGGAGGAAAGACAAGTGCCAGACGGTTAGCAGGGAGAGACATGAGAGTGAATACTTGAATACCTGATGTGCTTTCTTGTATGCTGGAACAGAGCTGCTCTAGAGGTCTGGGCATGCAGGAGGAGCTGCCTGTCTCTGCTGCAGTCCTTGGCTTTACCTTACATTGGTGCCTGGCAGTGGTCATCTTGTGTGTGGAGGAAGCCTCGTTAAACCATCCAAAGCTTGGAGAGGACTTTTAAACCAAGACAACTGGTGTCACTGGGTCCCTCATGGAGAGGGAGATGGAAGCTGCTCATCCACAGTTAAGCAGTGTATGTTTTCCAGCTTTGCCTCATTGTGGCTGGTGGATGGAATTGCATCTCTGCCTCCTTGGACCTCATGGGCATTCCCAGGAACAGTGTGTATGGACTCAGAGCAAGTCCCTGAAGCTGCAGTTCATGGACAAATCCAGCAGCTGTATGGAAGGTCCCTGGCTGACAGGATGACCCCGTTGCTGAGTCCTCAGCACCAGACCGAGCTGCCAGTCTGCTGCACACTTCAGCTCTGGCAGTGAATTTTCTGGTATATGTGTGTGTGTGATTTGGAAGCTGCTTTGCTTGGATCATGTCTCAGTGCCTTCTCTCCTCCAGTGCTCTTCAACCTGTGGGAAAGGCCTCCAGTCACGCGTGGTCCAGTGTATGCACAAAGTCACCGGGCGCCACGGCAATGAGTGCCCTGTCCTGTCCAAGCCAGCGGCCTACAGGCAGTGCCACCAAGAGGTCTGCAATGAGAAGATAAACGTCAACACAATTACCTCGCCCAGACTTGGTGAGTGAGGGCTCTTGGGGGGAAGAAGCCACCTGCGAAGGACCAGACAAAGCCCAGAGTCCCAGTGTTCTCGGTGTGAGAAAAGTGGGGTTCCAAAGAATTGCCCAGAGCCAGAAATTAGGAGAGGCCTGCCCAGTCAGATGCTGGGCTCAAGGTCTAGTGTGGATGGGTTGTCTCTTGTCCATCAGCCCTTGCCTCAGACTTTGCCTGAGCTGGAGCTGACAGGCCTATCTTTCTCCATCACAAACACCTTCACACCCTGCTTTTGCTGCAGTGAGTGTAAAATATGGTAATTTATTCATCCATGCCCCAAGAAAAGTACATGACCTTGCCAAGTAGAGTACTACCGGTTGTTTTTTTCCCTTTTCCTTTTCATGATTGTAGTTTGATGAATTAATTTTCTCAGGAAAGCAAGAGAACTTCCAGCCTCTTTCTGTGACCCCTTTGATTTTCTGTCACTGTCCTTCTCCTCACCCTCCCCGCATCCCCTGTATACCTGGCTGACAATATGGTGATAAGCCATCTGTTTCCCAAAAACACCTCAACATAATATTTAAGAAATCTCCCTAGTTAAGAAATCCTCTCTTACTCCAAAATTGTGGGAATACATTATTTTCCACATCATATTTGCTCCGTTTATAAGGGGATAAAAATACATTTTTCCAAATTTCAGCCCCATGTGTTCAGCCACAGCTCCAAGAACCAAGCTGGTTTCTTTACATTTCACACATCATCACCGGCAAGCTGAAGCTAAACGAAGCTATTGGCTGCGCTGACACAGCCTCCTATGTGCCTCCCGTTACTTTTCGGTACAAGAGGCCGAGTTGTAAGCAATGCTGCTAAAGCTTACCAGAAAGAACAGCATCCACCCTCCCAGCAGAGCGAGTCGCGCAGGCTAAGCCTCTAGTACGCCTGAAAAGGCAGAGCTGCTAAGTGATAGAGAACCATTGTCTAAAAGCGCTGGTCAGTATTAAATAACACTTCAGACTAGGACTGGACCTGCAGCTTCTGAACTTGAATTCGTTTCCTGAACGTTTAACAGATGTTTAAAAGAATATGGGAAATTGTATTCTTGCAAATACAGTCATACTGAGGAGCTGCTAACCTCTTTTGTTTAGGAACATCTGAGAGTAATTCCCAGATATTTTAGCACTAAGAGCATAGTGAAAGAAAAACATTTCATTTGAGAAATAAGCCCTTGATACACTGATGAGACAAGAAATCCATCCTAATTCACATTTTAGGACAAAGTAATAAAAAGCTCACGTGTTTAGATGACTTGAGGAGGCTCAAGTGCCTGCTGAAAGTAATCTGCAAGTAATTTGGGATGCTTATGTTTCTAAACCAGGCTTTGGAATTGCCAGGGCCAGAAACAACGATATTTGATATTAGCAGAAAGATAAATCACTTGAGTGTTTTGCTCTTCCTGCTTATAAACAATTCTCATTGGTTTATCTTTAAACTAAATTTTCTATTTTCTGCAATGGAAACCTCACCAACAAAAATGTATACAGCAAAGAATTCCAGTAGTGCAAACCTCACACTGCCTTGTCCCCTCTCCAGAATGTTTTTCACGCCAGGTAACATTTTCATATTCTCTCCGTCAGGCACCTGATCCATGTTGCTTCCTCAGCATGCTTCCTGCCTTTCTTCACAACTTAGGAGGGACCATGGACGTCTAAAATATTAGAATCCTGGCCTTGTTTGTGGCTCAGTGTCTTTCTATTCTATCAAGTCTCTCATCTCAGATTCATAAGGTCTGTCTCAGATGTTCTTGCAGGATTTATTCAGCAAAATCACATTTTCTGTGCCTGATTGGAACCGTAGCTGCTGGGCAGTGCTGCAGATCTAACCCCCTCAAAACACCGCTCCACTTCTGGCAGACTCAGGAAATAGCTGTACCCTCCTCTGGTGTAGGATGGTCACTTCCACTCAATTTTTTTTTCCTCACAATTTTTTTCTAATTGGCTTCATGTTCCTTTTTTTTTTTTCTGGGACAGTGCAACTTCATTTCATCAGGTTCAGTCAAACTTTTGCTTTTTGTGCAACTGAACAAAGCTTCAGTGCTAAACATTCCAGCCAGTTCTGCTGCCATTGTTTTCTGGTGCTTGGTACTGAAACGCACAGCTAAATGCAGGATAGGAGCCTTTCCTGGTGTCATCCTGCAGAGATGAGGAACAAGGAACTCAAGGAGCTGCTGGATCAGCACCTTATGATGTTCTTTAATTAGACCATTTTGTTCCCCAACCTCTGAGGCCACAATATTAATTTAGAAGACTTTCCCGTTATCACAGGGTTTGTAAGAAGACTATGTGCAATTTATAAATCGCACACTGGAAAAAACACTCCCTCCGTGTGTGCATTTTTATCAAGTGTTCAGTTTCGATACCATTACTTTTTTAGAAAAGCACACATGACCCTTAATTATATTGTCAACAGATTCAGCAACAGCGTCTTCATGATGCTTTTCCCTCTGCACAAACCTTTTGTCAGTCTGAGACAGCTTCTGCTGTCTGCTCTGCACTCCCAAGAGCTAATTGTTGTCCTGCTGGTTTTACTACACTTAAGAACTATTGTTTTTACTTCCTATTAATTTATCTTTTCATCCATCAAATCAGGTTTGAATCTGCAGCCTGGTTTTTACCAGGAGGACGGTGGCCACTCCTGAAAGCGTGCCATAGCAAAACGCTCTCCCTGGGAGCACACAACTTCCCACTGACTGCTGTGCGGTGTTCAGGTGCTTAAATCTAGGCCAATTCTTTAGACATTTTGTTCCTCTGAGCCTGTTTGTCACTGAGACAAAATAGGTCCAGTGCGAGGGAGCTTGTGCTCCCCAGTCGGGCCCATCTACGCCCTTGCAGTAAGCACGTCCACGAGCCTGATATTTCACTAGAAAGAGCATCATCTGGTCTCCAGTGCTGACAGCGAAATTGGCCCTTTCTTCCCTCGTATGCAGTGATTTTGATCGCACCTGCGATGCTGTTCTCTGGCTAATCTGCTAGTTTCTCCTCTCTTTTCTTGTCCAAAGCTGCTCTCACGTACAAGTGCACAGGCGACCAGTGGACAGTGTACTGCAGGGTGATCCGGGAGAAGAACCTGTGCCAAGACATGCGGTGGTATCAGCGCTGTTGCCAGACTTGCAGAGACTTTTACGCAAACAAGATGCAGCAGAAGAGTTAATGAACCTGTGCTACTTCTTAGAGTATTACAGCTGTTTGTATGTAAATCACGGACTAGTAGGTCTGAGTACTGGAACTTCATGAGTTGCTACGATGTGGTGGATCCCAAAGTATACCTAATAAGACTTGAAATTAATTCTACAGACTGGATACCAAAGTAATCCACTCATCCACCTTAAAAAAAAAGAAACAAACAGAAAGAGTTATCTCAAGGAACCAATCATTTTATTGTATTTTGTCATCATTACATTTTTCATTAATGCTTTTTACTTTAATATATTAAATCACCAGCCACTGGATGGCTTGCTACCATTAAAGAAAAGGACAAGAGTTGCAAAGTGATTACATTGACTAAGGTTATGGGTACCTCCATGGAGGAGGGCCTCTGGCAAAATAATTCATCAAAGGTAGAGACATAACTTAATCTTTTAATCTTGGCTTTCATCTGATGTTTTCAATTCCCAGCAGCTATCCCACTGCAACTAATAGGGTCTGCTCTTCTTTCTAATTTCAAAAAGCAATCCTCTCTCTCTGCTCCCCAAAATAATATAGTTTCTTTTATGAAACCTAATTTTTCTCTGAGCTTAGTGAAATGGAAGCTTATTAACAGCAGTAGATAGGGGTTTTTTAAGGAAGAACCATTTATATGAGATAGAAGAAACCAGGAATCATTTCACCCATAGAGCTCACTGAGGGATTGCTTGACCTAATCTCTCTCCAGTTTTTAGAAGTCCATCAGATGATGAGACTGATTTGTTATTTTTTTTAAGAGGACCTTGAAACTGGATAGGCTTGTTACAGAAACAGGATTTGGAACAAGCTCTGTGTGAAGGATGGAGTGGGCAGCAGAGCAGGTGTTTCCTATCTCTTGGCTCTTGTGTACATCTGAGGTTATGTGGCCTTTTGAGTCAAAAGTAGTCAGACAAGACATTCAAAGTGTAATCTTGAGCTTGTTGAAGCCACAAGACTAAGACTTCCATTGCCTTCAGTAAGGGTTAGGATTTTACTCACTGTATTTTAATGCTTCCTCTTAGTTTCGTGGTGCTATCAGGTTTGGTGCTATCAGAGCACTTAGCAAGTGCTGTGTATGTGATACTCCCACGCCTCTGCACTTTAAACCAAACTCCTCTCTGAGATGTGAGACTTGAAACAGGAGCTCTACCCAGGGCAGAGTTTGTCCCCTCCATTAGTCCTACAGATCGATGTCTCCCTATCACATCTTGCTCCAACACGTATCATTTCCCTTGCCAGGGTCCAAGGCCAGTTGTGCAGCGGTTAAGTTACAGCCCACTCTTCATGATAGGAGCGGAGCCCTTTGGATGAATTGCAGCTTTGTACTCGCTCTAGAACTGCGTGTTACTGTTTTGTTCTTTGGAGGTGACTGCAGAGCTAAGCCCCAGCCCCTGGGCCGGTCTGGATTGCAGCTCATACCTGTCCTCAACTTGTCTCTGTTGCTGTTGTCTCCTTTTTTCAGTGCAAGGAGGGATAAAGACTCTTAGTACCTAGTGTATCTTTAAAGCAACTTTTTTTTTTCTCCTTATTACAATCTTTTCAATATCCAGGGCCTCACTGGAGTAACTCATTAGCATTTTATTAAGGGCTAAATTTTTCAGGCACAGGGAGCTAATGTTCATCAACAGACTAATACTGTGTGGGCTTCACATTCGCATCTGTGCTTGTTAGTACAAATGAGCGTGTGTGCACACAAGGGCTGGCCTGTATGCACAAAGGCACATTTGCACACGACTTTTTCTCAAGTGCCTGTCTCAAACAGATCTACTTTCCAATGATCCAGATGATTTTCTCTATCAGAGAAATGATTCCCACTTGTGTTTTGTTATGTTGGGTGTTCTTCTAGCATCTTATAGTCAGGATCAGACCTCCTCCTTCTGTTACTCCCACCCTGTCACCCAGACACAGAGGTTGTTTAACTACTTAGCAAGTCAGCAATGGGAAATGTTGCTGGTAGCAGTGTCAGGGAACATACAGGCAATAGCACAGGGATGTTCAGTTTGGCAGATTAATAGGCGGATGAACTGCTAAGAAGAAAGTTCCAAGAGATCATACAGAGCCCAAAGGACCAGATTCGTGTTGGTAGTTCACGGTGGCAGTTTTCCCCCTTGCCTGCTGTCATACCCTGAGGTGACACAGCCCTGCCTGCACAGCAGAGCTGTCCCTGCTGCCACCACAGTCACCTCATAGGGGTTTGGCTGAGATAAGTCCCCTTACACCTGCCCTTAGTTTGGAGTTTGCTGTGGTTTTTTCTTTTTAAAGGGCAGCATTTGCCCATGAAGTGGCCTGGCACAATAAAACGCCAACTCCTAGCTGATTGCTTTTGGCATTGTTAACACCCGGGTTGGGCAGCTGAAGGACTTGACATCAGGCTTCTCTGTTATCTTGGAAGAATAAGAGAGGCTTTTATTATTGATAGGAATCAAAAGCACTGGTAAATAGCAGGGGTCATTTTTCCTTCCGGTGCTGACCTGTCACTCTCTAGGCGAAAGGTGCATAGGAGAGGAATGATTTTAACCTTATGTTTTTCACTAATAATTCACTACTGGCCTCTGTCTAGAACAGGATATTAGGCTAGTTAGACCTGTGGCCTGTCCCAGTATGCAGGTCCTGGACTGCAAAGGACGTTTGAGTCCAAGTTCTGGGTCCTACCTAAGGAAACATGAATTAACAAGGAATTCTTCTGAATGTCTGAGCACTGAAAAAAACCACCTCTCTCACTCTCACAGCCCACGGATTAGCATGCATCAATCTTTTTTTTTTTTTTTAAATCAGAAACTAACATTAATTAAAAATTAACAGCTCCATTTTATTACATCCTCTTACCTCGTATGGTGACAACCTTCCCATGTTACAATAATGAGAAAAATAATAACAATAAAAAGGTTTAATTCTGTTCAATACTCCCTCACTTCTGTTTTGTATCATTTAAGAGGAGCTTTACTATGAATTTACAGCTATGTTCTGCCCTCGGTTACTACATACTAGTGAAGAGAAAGCTGTTTCAGTGTATCTTTGACAATACTTTCTTTAGCTGTTCGTAAGAGACTGACGCTCTTTTGATTACAGTGGTGGTATTTCCATATTGTAAACAATACTCTGTACTGTTACTAAAGTACTGTACATTTCTAGTTGCACAATTGTGTTACTGAGTGTAGATTCTCACTATCTCATGTATGGTGCTATTTTTTGTTGGTGGAAAAGAATCTTAGCAGTCGGTTATTGCTTGATATTTTATTATAATACAGGGATATATTCTCCATGGCAATAATATCATTTAAGTTTTTCATTACAGAGTGAAATGTATATATTTTTCCATTAGCTGATTTGCATATGTACTGTATCCATGGTAATTTTCTTTTTGGTGCTGGTTATAAATAGAAAAGGTAAAAGCTGTCAAACTGAATGGAAGCAGTTGTAAATGAAAACCAAAAAAAAAAAAAAAAAAGGAAAGAGGAACATTCCATTTTGAAAAAAAATGAGTATGTCGAATAATAAATTTATTTTTTCCATAACAACTTTAATAAGGTTTCTGAACTTGAAAAAAAATGCAAAGCAAACAAAATAGCTAGCATGAAAATTAAGAGAGAGGAGTGAGGCTGTAAGTAGCACATTACACATCTGTCTAATACGGGACTGGGACTGGGATTTGGTTTAGCCTAGGCCAACTTTTTGATAACTGTGGTAGGCGTCAAATTCATTTGTCGGTAACACTTTGACATCTCGGAGTTCCCGGTGTGCTAACAAATCGGGAAGTGATGGGTCTTGCCCAGGTCGGGTTGCAAAACAAAGCGCGGGGAACGTCAGTACCTGAGCGGTGCTGGGCAAGGGCTGCGGTCGATGGCACATCTGGACAAAGGGATCCCGGCTCGGTTTGGGGTATCGCTGTGTTCGCCTGAGCCAGCTGCAGGGAAGCTAAAGCTTACGCGTCGGGGGAAGGAGATTTTGCGAGTGCTTTTGAACAAGGCTGCTTTCGATGTATGTGGGAGCTGCGGTGAAGTGGCAGCTTGCTGGATGTTTCATGGTGCCTGCTCCACAGGCACAGCCTGACAATGGACACTGCTGGTGTGCGGAACTTTATACTGGAGCAGAACTATCCTGACTGTGGGAAAGGGATCTACGTAACCGAGCTGCGCACTTCCCTGGTGTGAAATAAACCAAATTACTTCAGTGCCAAGTGTTTCGGATGTCTTTGTTGTAGGCACTAACCAGAACCTTTGTGCTATTTAACTCCCCCTCAGCATGTCTTTTGCAGACAGCTGCACACAGATAAGCCTGTAGGATCCTCTCTCATCCTGTCTTACAAAGATGCCGTCATCTGTATCCCATTCCAGCTCAGTTCTTGTTAAAATGACACCTCTTGGAGATCGGAGCAGCACCTTTCTAAAGCAGCTTTAAAAACAAATCCAACTGTAGCTGATGTGGAAGTCCTCCTCCTAAAATCATTTCCAGGAATGGAGTTTCTATTTCTATTAAAAAGAGAGCTCGTTTACTGATCTCAGGCTGGCTTCTTGGTAAAGACACAGCACTGGTAGGCTTCCTAGTTTTCAGAGGTAGCCTTGGGAGAGAGACACCAGCCCAGCTGCCATCATACAGATGACTGTTAACAGCAGCAAAATCGTAGAAACTCCGTCCAAGTGTTGCTGTGTATTAACACATCATCGTGTTTGTGTGTTGCCTGGAGTCAACATATGATTGTGATTGTTGACCTGTTTAAACAATAAAACACAGCTATAAGCCCCTGGAAGCCAAAAGGCTTTACGTTAAGCTGGGATATGGCAATAGGTGGGAGGGGTGTAAGGAATGCTGTCATACATTTGGCTTGAAACTTACCTGGTATGTGCCAATATCTCTTCTATAAATCCAGTAGGTTTATATACTTAGTTTGTCTATTTTGCGTGTAGCAGTTTACCATTTTTTGTCTTATTCCTTATCCCCATCTTCTAACCAAGAAACTAGGTAATTTGAAGTCATTGTCCTTCCCTGTGAACTCAGCTGTCTTTTTAAGACATATCAGCTGAGATCATTAGAGGCAGGTGGGGTTAGACGGCTCTGATCTTCTGCCATATAAGTACCAGGAGGAAAGTAAAGTTTCTCCTCAGCTGCTTGGAGCTCAGTTCTGCTACCACCAACTCCACCTGCTTCCTTCACTCTCTTGCAAGTCTTGGTGTGCACGGCAGCCTTAGCTGTTTCTTGGTCCCTTGCAGCAAGCTGGTGGGACTCTGCTTTCCCTGGGAGGAAGTTTCTTACCAAAAAGCTCAATATGGATCACCTTACCCTGGCATCGCCCCCATGTGTG